CCCATACAGGTCTTCATCCCACCAACAGGTCACCCTACAATACAAGAAGGTCCCCAGTACCATCATAGACCTCCGGGTCGCCCATACAGGTCTTCATCCCACCAACAGGTCACCCTACAATACAAGAAGGTCCCCAGTACCATCATAGACCTCCGGGTCCCCCATACAGGTCTTCATCCCACCAACAGGTCACCCTACAATACAAGAAGGTCCCCAGTACCATCCTAGCCCTCCGGGTCCCCCATACAGGTCTTCACCCACCAACAGGTCCCCCTACAATACAAGAGGGTCACCAGCACCATCATAGACCTCCGGGGTCCTCCATACAGGTCTTCACCCACCAACAGGTCACCCTACAATACAAGAGGGTCCCCAGTACCATCATAGACCTCCGGGTCCCCCATACAGGTCTTCACCCACCAACAGGTCACCCTACAATACAAGAGGGTCCCCAGTACCATCATAGACCTCCGGGTCCCGCATACAGGTCTTCTATCCACCAACAGGTCACCCTACAATACAAGAGGGTCCCCAGTACCATCATAGACCTCTGGGTCCCCCATACCTCTCCTCAACCCACAAAGAGGTCACCTTTAGTGATGTGCAGTTCCTGAACGGATCGTTCTTTAGAATCGATTCTATTCGGTGATCTGGAGTGGATTCCTTGGAGTGATCCGATCCGTGTGAAGCAGCTCAGTGTGGAATGAAGAGCAGAGCGGCTCTTGTAAGATGATTTTAGAGCTCAGCTCCTGCCAGCCGCGCCCTCTTCCTGCAACCAACCACAAGTGTGAACCAACAGCACACGAGTCTGAGAATCATACCGGACCGGTGAGTCAGAAGAATGGTGAGTCACCAGCAGAACACACAATGGGCATGTTGCAGCACTGATAAGGGACAGACATCCCGGAGATAAGAGAAAGGACCGTTTGGATAACACGAGATCCTCAGATTGATGGTTTAACCCTTAGACTGGGGGGCCATTAGAGTTCATGTGCGTGTAAAGGCGTCCCAATACTAATAGCAATATAGTGTATGTAAAAGGCACCTATCAGTGACCGCCTATCAGTGACCGCCTATCAGTGACCTCCTATCAGTGACCTCCTATCAGTGACCTCCGGGTCCCCCTACAATACAAGAGGGTCCCCCATACATACCACCAGTACCATCCTATGACTCAGTAGAGACATCCAGAGGGCCCCCAAATCAGGTTGTAGTTAAGAGCAGCTGGATGGGGCCCC